CTTGGGATTCACTGGTACTACTTATCTTTCTATTGAACAGCATTCCCAAGTTCTTTTTCAGTTAAGGAAAGTGGTAAAATGGCACTGTACCTGTAGGGTTATCTCACTGGTATTATTATCTTAAAGTATTGATGCTGGTGTAATTGATCTGGTTGGTGGGTAGCTTCTACACCCCAGAAGATCTCCACAGTCTCCTTGTTTTGAAGTGTAATGTAACAAAGATTGAAATTGAAGCACCACACCACTGCTAAGGGATCCAGTTGCCATTATAGGTCCAGCTCACTTCAGGCTTGTTCACATTGTGGTCAATCAAGCTCTGATGAAGAGGGCACCTTTTGACCCTGAAAGGCATTGTCTACTTTTTGGATTGTACCCCTGACTATTAGCAGAATAAAGTTGTACCCAAGCCTCTTAGCAGTGGTGTGGCCCTTAAATTTCAGTTCTTTTTCAGGTCTGTTTACCCTAAAATCATTCCATATAATGCTCGTAAGAGTAGGGCCCTCTTACCCCTCGTACGTTGTTTGTTGTTGTTGTACTGTGCCATGTATTGTCCCCCCTATTGTACAGCGCTGAGCAAACCCTTTGGCGCTATATAAACTCGTAGTAATAATAATAATAATAATAATATATGGAGAAATTATATTAGGATGGCCAAGGTATTTAGACTTACAAGTAATGTAATGATGTGCCCCTTTTCTTTCCTTCCTCAGTAGTGGGTGTGAACTCTCAACTCAGTAGCCCACCTTTCCTTGTGCTCTCCTTGGTTGTTGGGAAGGTGCCTCACCCATTTTTGGTCCACCTAAGGAGATTAGATGACTGCTTCAGATCTAGAAGTACTGAGGGACCCTGACATGAGCTTGGCAGATATCTATGAGAGAGCCAGGGCTGTCAGGGTTCCTTTTTAGGACAGAGGCTGTGATACATCTCAATCAAGTGTTTGTACTCCTAATGAATGTCAGCTTGTACCATAGGCTGACACCCTGGTCCTAATAGATGCCCTGACCTCAGATGTGGCTCCTTTTGTTTCCAGGACCTCACAGTGCTCTGACAAGGCATGTTGTTAGTCAGGATGTGTGACATCAAGATTCTTCCACTTTGTTTGCAGCTACTGACACCAGCAACAGAACTAGCACTGATCGCAGATGTGATTGAACTGAAAGTGAAACACAGAACTCTTGAAATTCCAAAGTCACCACTACATAGCAAAAATGAGAGTGGACAGGAAAACAGAGGAGTGATTAGTGTATAAGTGGTAAGAGAACTTTTCACAGAAGGACCATGACTTGAGCTGTTGCAATGGAATCTACATGAAATATCCACGGGGAGAGTTCTCATCATCAGGGATAGATACAGAAGCATATACTTCCCCACCTCTACCTGGACATTAAGCAGATGCTAGAACAGAGCATACTACAAGGGATGATTAAAGTAGCAAAAACCCATAGGCAGCTTTTATAGTCTTGGTGTAAGGATGACACCTTCTGATTTTGCATATATTATAGGCATTTAAATGCAGTCAGTACAAGAAATGCCTATCCTCTTCCATGAATTGAGAAATTCCTTTCCACCCAGGGCAGGTCAAATTGTTCCTCATACTTGATCTTGTTAGGTATTGGAAAATCCCTGTTGCCAAGGCAGAAAAACAAATAACTATTTTTACTATACTCATAGGGTTATATTAGTTCAAGAGGATGACCTTTGGGCTGAATAATGTATTTTCCATCTTCCAGAGAATGAGAGAACACTGTTTTGGAGATGTGAATCTAGCTAGCACCTTGATTTCTTTAAAATGGTGTAGTGGTGTTCTCTGCCATGGTTTAAAGAACACATTGCTCACCTAGAAGCTGTGTTGGGCTTATTGCAACAGTATGGGCTAAAGCTCAAACACAGAAAGTGCTATCTATACAAGAATCAGATTGAGTAGCAGGGACATCCAAAAAAAGATGTGCTTCCCAACCCCAAGAAATACAAGCCATGCAGGTGTGGAAGCCAACAGCAAACGTGGCTTAGTTCAGGGCATTCCTAGGGCTAGCAAGATATTATCAGCATTTCATCAAGCACTACACACACCACTATAATCGAAAAACTCCTACACAGGGTAGGTCACAAGAGGGGAGCAACAAAAGGATGGAAAGGAGATTGGAACAACAAGAAGCATCTGAATTCTTGAAGCTTCTGCCTCCTTAAAACAGTTAATGTCAGCCCCTCTACAGGCCTCTGCTTACGTCTACCTCCTTTTCCATTTGAGAACTTATGCAAGTGCCTAGTGCCTTGGGGCCAAGTTTTCTCAACTACAAGAAGGTCAGGAGAAGGTCATTACTTGCACCAGTGAAAGTCTACATGCAGTTGAGAAAAATCCTGTGAATTACAGATCTTTGAACCTTGAGCTGCCTGCCTTGGTGTAAACCACCACCAAACGTTTTGCAGAGCACTTGACAGGGACCTAAATTCAAGATATGGATCAATGGCATTCTATTTATATATCTACAAACAGCACAAAATAACATTCTGGAACAACCATGGTTGACCTGTCTGGTAACGTTCAAATTTTCTCTGACTTACTACTCAGAACAACTAGACAGAAGACACTCTGTCCCAGTACCCTCTAGAAAGATCCCAGCAAGATGTGGATGAAGAAGTCATAGAGGAAGAAATCCCAGACTTGACTGGAGAGAGGCCTTTAAGTAAACTGCTGGTGGACCTCATCCATGTACAGGACGAATAAAACTAAACAGAGATGCAGAGAGAAGACCCAATGGTTGCCACTCCCTGACTGTTATTTTAATTGTCCTACCTTGTCTTGAGAGATGGTGTGGAAATACTTTGGTCTTCCTTATAGCTGCCAAGGATACACTTAGATCAGGGTACACTGAAAGGGAGTTCTTCCAGGAGTGATGATACATCAAAAAGACACATATTATCATGTACTGCTCACAAGGCAATGGAGCTCGCAAGAGATTCAGCTGCACCTTAATACAGCTGTTGAGAGTCTTAGCCTGCAAGAAAAGAAAGATGGACCCACTACTTGGATGAAATGGTCTGGAAGTACAACCACGCAGTTCACTCAGACAGTTCACTCAACCCATCATGTTATGCTCTGCCTTGCCCTTGGGGCTCACCAAACTTTGTGGTAACTTCTCCTCTGGTTTTGGGAGTGGAACTGACACCAGTTCATAGACCTATGACCTGTAGACAGGATTCTTGTTTGGTGCAATGACACAGATATACAAGGTAAGTTGCAAACACCATGAGAAGAATTTCCTAGAATCATCTTATGGAAACCAATTACAATTGTGCCAATCTATGATCTCCAGAAAGAAGATACATAATGTCAGGAATGGACTCGCCATTGGTGGTGGGACTCACCTGCTTTGTGGGCTGCAGTACCAGTGCTGGCCAGCGGGTGCTCTCAGCAGCCAGAATCTCACTCCTGCTGTCAGGAATGGACTTGCCAGTGGTGGTGGGACTCACCTGCCTTGTGGGCTGCAGTACCAGGGCTGGCCAGCGGGTGCTCTCAGCAACCAGAGGCTCACTCCTGCAATGAGCCATCACCTGAAGCTGATTACAACAGGTGTATTTAAGGAATGGCCAGGCCTGTGATCAGGGCCTTGGTGTATGTTTCCCATGGGCCCCTGTACCCGCATCCTGTCTGCTTCCTGCCTGATCCAGATTCTGCTTCGATCCCTGACTCTGCATGAACTCCGCCTGTCCTGACCTCGGCTATTCCTGACTACTCTTCCGCCTGCTCCTTGTGCCCTGCCTGCCCGTTTGCTACTGACCCGGCCTGCCCGACTACGCTTCGTATTGTTTCTATTGTTATCTGTTGGAGGTTTGGGTTGGTTTGTTTGCACTGTGTTGTTGTTTAGTCTTGCACTGCGTCTATGTTTTTTTTAGTCTTAATAAATTGTCTTATTCACACTATACCTGAAGTCTGATTTTCCCTGTGTCAGTCCACACATTTCTGGTCATAACCGGATCCCTAACAGAACACCAAGGCCATTCCTGACCAGAAGTGGCTGCACAGGGAAGCCATCTTGGCTTATTGTTGTTGGGAAGGATGCATCTTGATGAGGTGATATATTTGTCTCTGTTAGTCTTTGATGACAGAGATTATGCTTATCAGACTCTGAAGGAGTATACCAGGGATCAACTACTAGAATGCATAAGGATCGCTCATTGCCTAGTAGAACAGGGCACAGAGTTCTATGAGGTGCAACCATTGATTCAGGTTTGTGCAGAGTTGGCTTCATCTGGTACCCCCGAATGCAAGGATGAATTTTTGCCACCATTTAGTGCCGACCAGGTAGAGTCCCTGGATTACTTCTTGGAGCGTTATTCTGCATATTCACAACAGGTGCTAAGAGATTGTATAAACGCAGTGCAGTCTTTGACCAGACAGGCTTTGTGTAAGCTGAGCTTGGTTCAACCCATACTGCAGACATGGTCAGACTTGTTGCACCCAGCCTCAGTCAGCTTGCAACATTATTCCTCTGCTCAAAGCACTCTTCCTGCATCCCTGACAGCACCCCCAGTGACAGCCCAGTATACTCTAACTACCCCATATCAGTCCCCTGCTCCCACTCGCTGCACCTATCCTATCTTTAACCCTGTAGAGAAGTCCTCTGTAGCAACTGCTCCCTCCTTTGTTCCATCCCTCAGTTCTTCTCTGCCTACAGCTGCTCTATCCACTTACAAAACTGCGCTTACTTCCTGCGCTCCAGTAACTAAAACCAGGAAAAAGCGAAAATTCTTTCCAACCAATACCATCCTGCCAGTATCCAAACCGGTCAGCCTGCCGTCTGAGAACCCGCCTTTCGTGGTTCAGCCTGATACCCTGATGCCCGATGACCCAGTGTACCCTACCCAGCTTGATGTGTCTACCTAGCCTGATGGTCCTATTATGCCAGATGACTCGGTGCCCGCTGTCGAGCCAGACGATCCAATGCCAGATGACCCGGTACCTGCTGTCGAGCCAGATGTCCTGATGCCAGATGACCCGATGCCCGCTGTCAAGCCAGACGATCCAATGCCTGATGACCCGGTGCCCGCTGTCGAACCAGATGACCCGGTACCCGCTGTCGAGCCAGATGACCTGATGCCAGATGACCCAATGCCCGCTGTCGAGCCAGATGACCCGGTGCCCATTGTCGAGCCAGATGACCCGATGCCAGATGACCCGGTGCCAGCTGTCAAGCCAGATGATCCAATGCCTGATGACTCGGTGCCCGCTGTCGTGCCAGATGACTCGGTGCCCACTGTCGTGCCAGATGACTCGGTGCCCGCTGTCGTGCCAGATGACTCGGTGCCCGCTGTCTGCCAGATGACTTGGTGCCTGCTGTCGTGCCAGATGGCTTGGTGCCCGCTGTCATGCCAGATGACTGGGTGCCCGCTGTCATGCCAGATGACTCGGTGCCCGCTGTCGAGCTTGGTGACCCAGTGCCTGCGGTTTCTGCCAGATGACTCACTACCCGCTGTCCTGCCAGATGACTCAGTACCCGCTGTCCTGCCAGATGACTCGGTGCCCGCTGTCGAGCTTGGTGGCCCAGTGCCCGTGCTTCTGCTAGATGACTCGGTGCCCACTGTCATGCCAGATGACTCGGTGCCTGCTGTCGAGCTTGGTGACCTAGTTCCCCTCGGTTCTGCCAGATGACTCGGTACCCGCTGTCCTGCCAGATGACTCGGTGCCCGCTGTCAAGCTTGGTGACCCAGTGCCCGCGGTTCTGCCAGATGACTCGGTACCTGCTGTCCTGCCAGATGACTCGGTGCCCGCTGTTGAGCTTGGTGACCCAGTGCCCGCGGTTCTGCTAGATGGCTCGGTGCCCGCTGTCGAGCTTGGTGACCCAGTGCCCGCGGTTCTGCCAGATGACTCGGTGCCCACTGCTCCGCCTGATGGTCCAGTGCCTGCTGCTCTGCCTGGTGACCCAGTGCCCACGATTCTGCCAAATGACTCGGTACCCGCTGTCCTGCCAGATGACTTGGTGCCCGCTGTTGAGCTTGGTGACCCAGTGCCCGCGGTTCTGCTAGATGGCTCGGTGCCCGCTGTCGTGCCAGATGACTCGGTGCCCGCTGTCGTGCCAGATGACTCGGTGCCCGCTGTCGTGCCAGATGACTCGGTGACCGCTGTCGAGCTTGGTGACCCAGTGCCTGCGGTTCTGCCAGATGACTCGATACCCGCTGTCCTGCCAGATGACTCAGTGCCCGCTGTCGAGCTTGGTGACCCAGTGCCCACTGCTCCGCCTGATGGCCTAGTGCCCACTGCTCCGCCTGATGGCCCGGTGCCTGCTGCTCCGCCTGGTGACCCAGTGCCAGATGACTCGGTGCCCACTGTCGAGCCAGATGTCCTGATGCCAGATGACCCGATGCCCGCTGTCAAGCCAGACGATCCAATGCCTGATGACCCGGTGCCCGCTGTTGAACCAGATGACCCGGTACCCTCTGTCGAGCCAGATGACCTGATGCCAGATGACCCAATGCCCGCTGTCGAGCCAGATGACCCGATGCCAGATGACCCGGTGCCAGCTGTCGAGCCAGATGATCCAATGCCTGATGACTCGGTGCCCGCTGTCGTGCCAGATGACTCGGTGCCCGCTGTCGTGCCAGATGACTCGGTGCCCGCTGTCTTGCCAGATGACTCGGTGCCCGCTGTCATGCCAGGTGACTCGGTGCCCGCTGTCATGCCAGATGACTCGGTGCCCGCTGTCGAGCTTGGTGACCCAGTGCCCGCGGTTCTGCCAGATGACTCAGTACCCGCTGTCCTGCCAGATGACTCGGTGCCCGCTGTCGAGCTTGGTGGCCCAGTGCCCGTGCTTCTGCTAGATGACTCGGTGCCCACTGTCATGCCAGATGACTCGGTGCCCGCTGTCGAGCTTGGTGACCTAGTTCCCCTCGGTTCTGCTAGATGACTCGGTACCCGCTGTCCTGCCAGATGACTCGGTGCCCGCTGTCAAGCTTGGTGACCCAGTGCCCGCGGTTCTGCCAGATGACTCGGTACCCGATGTCATGCCAGATGACTCGGTGCCCGCTGTCGAGCTTGGTGACCTAGTGCCCGCGGTTCTGCCAGATGGCTCGGTACCCGCTGTCCTGCCAGATGACTCGGTGCCCGCTGTCGAGCTTGGTGATCCAGTGCCCGTGGTTCTGCCAGATGACTCGGTGCCCACTGCTCCGCCTGATGGTCCAGTGCCTGCTGCTCTGCCTGCTGACCCAGTGCCCACGATTCTGCCAAATGACTCGGTACCCGCTGTCCTGCCAGATGACTTGGTGCCCGCTGTTGAGCTTGGTGACCCAGTGCCCGCGGTTCTGCTAGATGGCTCGGTGCCCGCTGTCGTGCCAGATGACTCGGTGCCCGCTGTCGTGCCAGATGACTCGGTGCCCGCTGTCGTGCCAGATGACTCGGTGACCGCTGTCGAGCTTGGTGACCCAGTGCCTGCGGTTCTGCCAGATGACTCGATACCCGCTGTCCTGCCAGATGACTCAGTGCCCGCTGTCGAGCTTGGTGACCCAGTGCCCACTGCTCCGCCTGATGGCCTAGTGCCCATTGCTCCGCCTGATGGCCCGGTGCCTGCTGCTCCGCCTGGTGACCCAGTGCCCCACGATTCTGCCAAATGACTCGGTACCCGCTGTCTCGCCCGCTGTCCTGCCAGATGACTGGTGCCCGCTGTTGAGCTGGGTGACCCAGTGCCCGCGGTTCTGCTAGATGGCTCGGTGCCGCTGTCGTGCCAGATGACTCGGTGCCCGCTGTCGTGCCAGATGACTCGTGTGCCCGCTGTCCCAGTGCCAGATGACTCGGTGACCGCTGTCGAGCTTGGTGACCCAGTGCCTGCGGTTCTGCCAGATGACCAGATACCCGCTGTCCTGCCAGATGACTCAGTGCCCGCTGTCGAGCTTGGTGACCCAGTGCCCACTGCTCCGCCTGATGGCCTAGTGCCCATGCTCCGCCTGATGGCCCGGTGCCTGCTGCTCCGCCTGGTGACCCAGTGCCAGATGACTCGGTGCCCACTGTCGAGCCAGATGTCCTGATGCCAGATGACCCGATGCCCGCTGTCAAGCCAGACGATCCAATGCCTGATGACCCGGTGCCCGCTGTTGAACCAGATGACCCGGTACCCTCTGTCGAGCCAGATGACCTGATGCCAGATGACCCAATGCCCGCTGTCGAGCCAGATGACCCGATGCCAGATGACCCGGTGCCAGCTGTCGAGCCAGATGATCCAATGCCTGATGACTCGGTGCCCGCTGTCGTGCCAGATGACTCGGTGCCCGCTGTCGTGCCAGATGACTCGGTGCCCGCTGTCTTGCCAGATGACTCGGTGCCCGCTGTCATGCCAGGTGACTCGGTGCCCGCTGTCATGCCAGATGACTCGGTGCCCGCTGTCGAGCTTGGTGACCCAGTGCCCGCGGTTCTGCCAGATGACTCAGTACCCGCTGTCCTGCCAGATGACTCGGTGCCCGCTGTCGAGCTTGGTGGCCCAGTGCCCGTGCTTCTGCTAGATGACTCGGTGCCCACTGTCATGCCAGATGACTCGGTGCCCGCTGTCGAGCTTGGTGACCTAGTTCCCCTCGGTTCTGCTAGATGACTCGGTACCCGCTGTCCTGCCAGATGACTCGGTGCCCGCTGTCAAGCTTGGTGACCCAGTGCCCGCGGTTCTGCCAGATGACTCGGTACCCGATGTCATGCCAGATGACTCGGTGCCCGCTGTCGAGCTTGGTGACCTAGTGCCCGCGGTTCTGCCAGATGGCTCGGTACCCGCTGTCCTGCCAGATGACTCGGTGCCCGCTGTCGAGCTTGGTGATCCAGTGCCCGTGGTTCTGCCAGATGACTCGGTGCCCACTGCTCCGCCTGATGGTCCAGTGCCTGCTGCTCTGCCTGCTGACCCAGTGCCCACGATTCTGCCAAATGACTCGGTACCCGCTGTCCTGCCAGATGACTTGGTGCCCGCTGTTGAGCTTGGTGACCCAGTGCCCGCAGTTCTGCTAGATGGCTCGGTGCCCGCTGTCGTGCCAGATGACTCGGTGCCCGCTGTCATGCCAGATGACTCGGTGCCCGCTGTCGTGCCAGATGACTCGGTGCCCGCTGTTGTGCCAGATGACTCGGTGCCCGCTGTCGAGGTTGGTGACCCAGTGCCTGCGGTTCTGCCAGATGACTCGGTACCCGCTGTCCTGCCAGATGACTCAGTGCCCGCTGTCGAGCTTGGTGACCCAGTGCCCACTGCTCCGCCTGATGACCCGGTGCCAGATGACTCGGTGCCCGCTGTCAAGCTTGGTGACCCAGTGCCCGCGGTTCTGCTAGATGGCTTGGTGCCCGCTGTCGTGCCAGATGGCTCGGTGCCCGCTGTCGAGCTTGGTGACCCAGTGCCCGCGGTTCTGCCAGATGAATCGGTACCCCCTGTCCTGCCAGATGACTCGGTGCCTGCTGTCGAGCTTGGTGACCCAGTGCCCGCTGCTCTGCCTGATGGCCCGGTGCCCGCTGCTCCGCCTGATGGCCCGGTGCCCACTGCTCCGCCTGATGGCCCGGTACCCGCTGCCTTGCCTGCTGCTCCGCCTGATGGCCCGATGCCCCGCCTGATGGCCCGGTGCCCGCTGCTCCGCCTGATGGCCCGGTGCCCGCTGCTCTGCCTGATGGCCCGGTGCCCGCTGCCTTGCCTGCTGCTTCGCCTGATGGCCCGGTGCCAGCTGCTCCGCCTGATGGCCCGGTGCCCGCTGCTACGCCTAATGGCCCGGTGCCCGCTGCTACGCCTAATGGCCCGGTGCCCGCTGCCTTGCCTGCTGCTACACCTAATGGCCCGGTGCCTGCTGCTCCGCCTGATCGCCCGATGCCCACTGCTTTGCCTGATGGCCCGGTGCCCGCTGCCTTGCCTGCTGCCCAGCCTGCCGTGCCTCTGCCTGCTACCCAGCCTGCCGTGCCTCTGCCTGCTGTCCCGCCTGACGTGCCTTTGCCTGCTGTCCCACCTGACGTGCCTCTGCCTGCTGTCCCGCCTGACGTGCCTCTGCCTGCTTCCCAGCCTGACGTACGAGCTCCTGATGCCCAGCCTGCTTCTGGAAATCCTGTGTCCAGCAATCTGCCTTCCTGCAGTCTCCTACAAAAAGATAGGCCTATCAGCAGGAGACCCAGCCAATTGCTTGATTCCGGCAGTGGGATGTCCAGCCAGTTGCCGGACCCAGGCGGTGGAACATTTGGGCCATTACAGACTGTTTGGAGTGTCCTGGGGCCGCTCCTTGAGGGGGGGGTTCTGTCAGGAATGGACTTGCCAGTGGTGGTGGGAAATATTTTATTTTGTAATGTAAGCTTACAAAACCACCCAACTTAAACTCTTCTTTTACAAAAGCACAAAAAAATTGCAAATAAATAAATAAGTACAAACATAATCACTACACATAACTGAAAGTCCAGAATTTCCTGCGGAAAGAAACAGCAAACCATATGGCTTTAAATGGCCCAAACATAAGAGTCCATAACCTTGCAAAGAAGGCATATACATCCAGACCTATATAGTCATGGAAGAGACAACAGGCCCGACACCCCACTGAGCTGGACAACTGGCTCAATGCCCCCAACATGTATCTACAAGGCCTTTATGGCCAAAAAATTTAGCCACCATGCATGACTGAAAACCCAGAACTTCCTGGGGAAAGAAAAACATAGAATATGGCATATGACCTATGGCCCATTACATAAGAGTCCATACATAAGAGTCCATAACCTGCAAAGAAAAAGGACATATGCAACCAGACCTATACGGACATGGAGAAGACAACAGGCCCGACGCCCCACAAAGCAGGACAACAGGCCCAATGCCCCCACCACGCATACACAGGGCCTCTATGGCCTATATGGCCAAACCCAAAAGGATCAAATACAATTTCCAACCTCCTGCTGCAAAAGGCCTTTACGGCCTAAATCCAAGACTCAACCAAGAACCCACCAAGATAGATAATACAAAACTCCAAGAGGAAGACTAAAAAACACACAGACCCTCAGTACCCACAACCTTTCTTCAAAAAACAAATCCACAACTACAAAAAACCTAAGGTGGTGCAAAGAGAAGAAACAGGGATAGCTATCACCACCGGAGATCAACAGGCAGCAGCTACAGGCCTGATGTTCCTCCACGCCTCCAACCAAGCCTTTCGCCGCCACCGGGTCTTTCTCAAGACCCTGAATTTTCCCAACCTCACCAAGAATGCCACACACCACCACCTGGACAGGGAGGACTTTTTTCCGAATGGAAACCTGACACCGTGCATTCCACGTGTAATAACGGACCACTAAACTAACTAGAAACAAGGTGTCTAAATCAAAACCCGAGCGGCTTTCAAATGCTCCATACACCCACTCCGCATAAGACATGCAGTGGAGGAAAGAGACACCCAAAGCCCCACCCACCTCTTTGTACACTTCAACGTTAAAGGGGCACTGAAGCAAGAAGTGGTCCATACTCTCCACTTCACACCCACACTCCACCCTCGGACAACCACGGTCATCCAGAGAGCGGCACTTCAGGTTGCCCCTTACGTAAAGCCTGCCATGGAAGCCGAGCCAGGCCTGGTCCCTCAACTTCAGGGGGATCCGCTCCAGATTTAATAAACGCAAACCCTCCCTCATGATATGACCTGGGCAATCTTTCAGGGCCAATGGCGCATGGAAAGCGGTAGCCACAATCCTCTCACCCAGGAGTTTCCTAGGGAGGGACCTGACCTCCTCCGCCGTCACATTCCACCGCCAGAGTAACTTCAGGCACGGGGCCACGTGAGCCGGGAGCTTACCATGCTTGACCCGCAGGCTTCTCACTGGCCCGCCACTCTCCCAACTGTTCAGAAAGGGTCCAAACCAGGCACGAAGAAGTCTTACCCATGCAGGCGGTCTCTCTGCCAACATGCTACCAAAGTTATGTTTCAAGAACATCAGAGAGAAAAAAACTACTGGGTTGACCATACCTAGGCCACCCTCCCGCCTGGATGAATAAGTTACGTTCCGCTTAACAACAGCTGTAAACCCTCGTATAGAGTGATTCTGGCAAGAGACAGATGTAACTGACATACAGAAATACCGGAATCAGGAAAGTCTTGATCAGATCAACCCATTCCCTCAAGGAGAGCCGCCACCCCCTTCCAGCATCTGACCTTGACCTCTGCATCAGACAACTTGGCTTCCCAGTTCAGCTTGCCATAATCTGTATGGCCAAAATTGATGCCCAAAATTTTTATGCTTGGCTGAGGCACCCCGAAGGTGTCCGGGAGCGAGAAGCTCTCACTCTCTCTACCCATACAGAGAACTTCACATTTGTCCTGGTTGACCTTGGAGCCAGATGCCTCGGCATACTGTTCCATCACCGAGACCACCTCCTGCGCCTCCTCAGACCCAGAGATGAAAGCAGAAACATCATCAGCATAAGCTACAACCTTCAGGGGCGGACTCCCAGCAGCACCCCCCGGCACCCCGCCCAACGCTCCACCATCTAGCCTCCTGACGAAGGGGTCAATGGCAAAGACGTAGAGCAAGGGGCTCAGAGGGCACCCCTGGTGCACCCCGGATCCAACCCCAAAAGGCTGCCCAACCCAGCCATTCACCAACATGAAGCTCTCAGCCTCCCTATACAATGTTTTTAACCAGCCAATAAACCTCCCTTCCAAGCCGTACCGGTCAAGGAGACACCAGAGGTACTCATGGTTGACACGATCAAAGGACTTTGCCTGATCCACTGCCAGCAAGAACTTTCCCCATCCTTCAGCCTTACAATGCTCCAGAGCCTCCCGGACAGCTAACACCGCTGTAAAGGTACTCCTGCCCTGGACCAAGCAATGCTGCTGACGAGAAAGCAGACCCTCTGCCACTGACGACAAGCGCCAGAACAAGATCTTAGCCAGAACCTTTCTATCGACATTGAGAAGGCTAATGGGGCGCCAGTTCTCAATAACCGAAGGATCCTTACCCTTTGCCAGCAAAATCACCACAGACTGCCTCATGGAGGGAGGGAGGGACCCCTCACTCATACAGCAATTATACACCTCCGCTAGGCGAAGGTGCCAGGCTAGATTTGAAGGTCTTAAAAAATTCAGCTGTCAACCTGTCTGGCCCAGGAGTTTTCTTAATGGTCAGACTATCAATGGCCTTAGTCACCTCCTCTGCGGTAATTTCTTCTGTCAAACTTGTAGGCAGAACATTACTCTCCAAACCTGGTGTAGATTCCAAGAAGCTCAACATCCTTGCCCGGTTAAGGCACTTCTCACTCAGTAAGTCCTTGTAAAAATCCCTAGAGACCTCCAGAATCCCTGACCTGGATCTTGTCAGGGACCCCGTACTATCCCTCAAGGCAGAGACTGTCCTAATCGCTGCACCCTGTTTGTAATTCTGAAAAGGGTCGGGCGAGTGGTACTTCCCATAATCCCTTTCCAGAACCAAAGAGGCACGCCGATCGTACTGGTATTTACTGAGGAGAAGTTTGACCTCATATCCCAGGTGGTCAGTGAAGCCCCTCCTGTCCTTGGGCCTAGTTATGGTGTTGAAGTCACCTCCAAAGACCACCTGTCAGGATGTAAAAAGAAAAGGTTTGATCCTTGTGAAAAGGCACTTCCTATCCCACTTGGACTGCGGCCCATAGATGTTAATCAGGCGCAGCTCCTGCCCCCTCACAAGGACATCCAGGACAAACATCTACCAATCTCAACCTCAAAAGCCCGCCGGCACGTTACCATCTCGGAAAAAGGGACCGCGACTCCGCTGTAAGGCTCAGCCGCAAGAGACCAGTAGGATGGCCCATGCCTCTACTCCCTCTTGTCCAGATGGATATCAGCCAAGGTGGGCAGCCTGGTCTCTTGCAAAAAGAAAATATCAGCATCCATCTCACTGATCAAAAATAGGGCTGTCTCTCTTGCACTTACAGATCTTAGGCTGGCAACGTTAATAGTTGCCACCTTTAGCGGACCGGGAACTGCCATCAAGGAGTCTGAGGCTGAGAAAGGCGTTTTTTAACCTTCCTCTTCTCGGCAGGATCCCTCACTCCCTCCACAGCACCACCTACTTCCCCTTCCTCCATCGGAGAAGCGGGGTCACTCGAGACC